GTTTCGAAGAAAAAAGGTTCTTCCCGTGTGTCCAGGGGAAGATCCTTTAAAGGTTCCGTGGATTTTTTTATTCTCTCTTTGAAACTTTGAGCACATTTGCAAGCTTTTTGTCATCTACTGAGCCTTTTTTTAAGGTTCGGTAAAGTACCTTTTTTTTTTACAGTGTACTCGACAACAGATGAAACACTTAGTTTATATGATAATTTGATTGGAGCTATTATTGTTTGATTAAGTCAATACACTATTGCTACGCAAAAGAATTGCTTCCAGTTCATGCGGTCGGCAAAAACTGCCATTGATTTGTGTCTCTTGAATCTTGTAAAATAAAAACATGATTCTATGATGAATTGTGAAAATAATACACTCAGAACAATGATAGAAAGAATTGGAACGCAGATGTGAATCATTCTAAATTTAGAACAGAATGGATAAAAACTGAATCACCACTTTAACTCTCTTTACTAAAAGTTATTTTACGGTAAGTAATGTCAATTGGAATTTACATTTCCCAAGAAAAGCAGTGATAAATTCTTTTCTTAATAGAAAAAGGTTTCATAAACAGTATTTAATGTTTAAAAATCGCTTTTAAGATGTAGACTTTACAACTGTGGAGTAGTATTCAAACAATGTTTACACATACTTACATCGTCTAGCTGAACTTCAGTAATAATAAATGCGATGGGAGTACACGAATATTATGAGTATAGGACATGTGCATATGTGCATATATATTGATAATCATAATATAGTTTGAAGCACAATTTCGGCTTATTTCCTTTTCTCCTTTGTCATTTATTGCCACACGAACTGATCTCAGTCTTGAGAAGCTTTGCTATGCAAAGTTGAGTATGTGTTCTATTCTTTTCATCTATTAATAGTGTTTTTCTAAAATATTTTCTAACTGTAACTTAGGAGAAAATCCTATACTAGTGATACAACTCGCCATTTTCATTAATGAATTCACTTTATTGAACTCACCTCGATTATAAAATCTTTTTCACACGGAACAATATCTACAAAATGACAACGACTTAATTGATCAGCATACAGCTATTGAATCGGTGAATTTAAAACTCAACTACCCATGTTTAAGAATACATGCATTTCAAGGAATTTTTAACATTCGCATACGATTAGCAAAAGATCTTTGAAACAGATCATTTTCGATGCATTTAGAAAAATCTGCTAAGATGTAGTGTGACTGCTTCTCTTTTCGCAATTCTGATTCAAATGCATGAAATTTCAAGTTTTTACTGGAAATAATTAGCACTACATATGCACGTAAAAAGCTGACGCTGACAACCTCGTTTTCTTAAAAATGAAAATCAGCTTTTTTATACGGCTGTCCAATAGACAGGACTGTTTTGAGTTGGTATAAAAACCATATGTTTCTTTGAGAGCAGAGTATCTTTCTTTGACCAAGTAAAGAAAAGCAAAAACAATAGAATGCTAATCCCTAAAAAGAACCCTAAAGCTAGTTGAATATTGTTTTTCTTAACAGTTCTGAGAACTAGCCTGAATGATAATGGTACTTGTAGACACAACGGAATTCTGATAAAAATCTATTTCTTGTTTGGCCAGATAGACTCAACTAGTTGAGTATATAGATTGATTAAAGAACTCTTTTTCAACGAGCTTTCATTCTACTAGTTTATAAAAAGATGTTAGATTGTTAGATAGGTGAATTCCATTTGAGTATGTCATAGAATATACCTAAATTCATGTAGGCTGCTATTGATAAGTTTCAATAATGTATACCTCAAAATGTACGGTTTTATCGAATTTTTGATATTAGCTGTGCTACAAAATAAGTTATACATATTTCAAGTACTTCTGACCTGCTGACATTGGATTTGGAGGTTCCAGAAGCACGAATGGTGGCGGTATTTCACGTAAATGAATAATATGTAAATTATCCATGCTACTCAAATGGCTTATTACTTCCAAATGAGTACATGGAAGAAGCAATATTTCTTCTTCTTGCGCATAATAAGAATGTTGTTGAATGTTTTTTCCATTTAAACAATCGATTGCGAACAAAGTACGTGGACCTGATGTACCCAAATATTGTTCACTTTCCAGAACATGAATTGCAGTAGTACAAGAACTGAATGCCCACCATGTAACTTTTCTGCTCTGTTTATATTGTGGCCGCAAATCACCGCGTACACCTCGCCAAACGGTGCAGCGAGTTGACGGTAATTTAAATAAGCCGGTTAGAAGTAATTTTAAGTAAGGAAACCAAGGAGATAGTTTTCTTCGATCTTCAAGACGAAGTGTCTGATTCAGGACTAAATAAAGGCTTGGATGATGGGGATCCCACTCGATTGTATATAAAACAATCGCGGCTGATTCGTCCTGATTGAGTTTATCAATTGGATGTTCGCATCGATTCGTAGCCGTCCAAGCGCGTACATCGACATCATGAACCAAATTGCGCAATTTTACAACAGCTTCTTGTAACGAAACTAGTTCTTCCGCTGCATAACCACGTAAAGGAGTAAGTGAATTTAAACGCTCTTCAGCAGCATCGAGAAGACGAGTATTGATGTGAGCCATTCGAGTGAAGTTTTCAGTGACTGTTGTATTGAATTCGATATTTTATTTTAATTAGATAATGGTATCTAATAAATGTTAATAAAACTGTATATATGTGATTTAATGTTTATCTGAAATAAAGAAAAAACATGAAAATTCACTTGTATGATCTCGATAGATATTCATTAAACTGATACTATCATTTACATACCAGACTTTCGATAGCATGTGCCACGTTTCACGTTGTGAGAAAGCATGATACTTATACTCATACCCAGGACAAACAATCATTGCGATCGAATTCTGGTCTATATGTCGTCGAAATCCGAGAAAATCCGACAGGATCCGACTGGGGGTAATTGACCTGGGTAGTGAATCATGATATTTCAGTCGGTATATAAAGATGGCCATCAGTGAAAACACTCCGATTCTCGTACATTTGGTACGGCTTTTGGAGAACTATCCAATTATTTTACTTTTGACGCTGAAGAGATCCCGTTACGTGGGTAATATACCCAGGTCAGTCTGGTTACGTCGGATCTTGTCGGATGGATGCGATATCCGCTGAGACACGGTAGTCGAGGTGCCGGATTCGCTGAATTTCCACCATTTTCATAATGTCGAAACCGATCAGACCTGGTAGATATGATCCGCTCCTATATGGCAGGATCCGTGGTCATCCGATATTAGGAACTCATCGAAAATTGCTGGGTTAAACTACCCATGATTTCCGGGCAAAATACAGTCAATACCTGTCATTGGAATATGTCGCATTCTGTCAGAATAGAGTGGTTCCGTGCATAGGATTTTGGTGCTTCTAGGAACGAAAATCCGACAGGAACCAGTTGCATACAATACTCAGATGTAAGCAGGAAATTCTAGGCCAAAAAGTCAGTGATCAAGATTTCAATCCGAAATTCAACAGATTTCTTTTGTTTCTCTTAATCAGGGTCCTACCTTTGACTGTCTTCATGATATTCACTAAGTATTTTTCTTTTCTCGCATTTCTTTTAATTCAACATTATTATTCTAAGCCTAGACTCGATTGACCAAATAATCCTTGTCAAGCGAAGAGTTCAGTGACTCGGTTTCCGATAGAGGTTTAATCGAATTAGGTCGGAATCCGACAGAATCCTACGAGATTTTGGTGAATCCTGTCGGATTTCGATATCAAAACGCGACTCAATGAAATCCAGGTTACATATGATGGAATACTGTCGATATTAAGACGACCCAATAAGATCCGATGCATACGGGTGTGGGTGTGGGTGTGTATTTTATGAAAAGACAAACAACCACACCTAAAGTGGTGGACATAAATATAGGACACTTTATTTTTGAAAATTTTTGGACGAAGACAAGTAGCTATGTCAAATACAAATAATGATTTGGATCGCCCTTGAAATTCTCTATCGAATACAATACATGTCAAATTTTCAAAGGAAATTTTCCAAAAAAAGTTTTCCAGAAAACTTTTCACTGAAATTTCAGCTTCTGAAAAAAATTGGCAACAATTTTTTTAAATATATTCATCTGAAAGAGCAAAGAATTCTGAGCAAAATGAGGGATTGGCCAGCTCTCCACGATGTTTCATTGTAAAGTTATAAGCATCAGAAAAACCGAAAAAAATGTGTTTTTAGC